TGCTCACTCTGGAAATTGTTCTCCTTTTGTTCCTATATTTGTGACCGTACTTGATGATAGAAATGGCTGATGTTTCTGACTCCCCCTCCTTCTGTTCCTTCTCTTCGTCCCTGCTCACGTGCATGAGCTGAACGAGCTAATGTGTTGTCCATTGCAGTTTAGCCGGGTTAACGCCTCATACTGCAAGTGGTGGCAAGGGGCCTGTGACTGGCCTTGCTTTGAGCTCAGCGAGCTGCCGCTTGAGCCTCAATAACAGCTCGTGCACTTTCTTTCTGCTAGTCTGCCCCAACTGTCAAGCAAATAGTGTTGGTTCAAGCACCCTTTATGGCTATGAGGAATGAAATTACATTAAATGATGTGAAAATGGTTAGAGACTTCATATTAAATGTGAAGGGACTAGATACGAAGCGTTGGTTGCTGAGTAATCATTCCGCTATTAGCATGTACAAAATCAGCCTGGAACAGTTTATTCCTACTGTTGTTTTACAATTTGAGCCTCAAAATCATCGGCAGTTATGCTATTCCAGGAAAGGAAAGGAAAAGTCTCCCTGAAGTGACTAATCCATCAAGCCACCTTCCTGCAAAGCAGTGCCTCCCGCCGGAGCTGTCTCTGGGCACGTAGCCCTGTGACCAGCTAAGCTTTCTTTTGGGGGCCTTTGAGCCCTTTGTCACAGCAGAGACCTGTATCTTTTTGTAGTGCTCTTTGGTTGAATATGAGAGATTATTTCCTCATTTTGGTTGGGAAAAACCAAACCACGACAATTACTTAATTTATTTTCAGGATTATCTTGCCCCATGCATTCATTTTGCCACAAATGGCAAAGCTCCAGCTGGGGGAAGAATTAAATCTTACGGAGAAGCTGAAGCTTCTGATCTGAAATCTTCTAGTGCTTGTTAGGAACAGGGGATGGCCTTTTCTTTTGAGCCTCCCTGTTTTCATTATCTGTTGTCTTGACTCTCATCTTCATTCATCCTGACTTCTGTAAAAGAACATCTCTGTGGGAAGTTGCTGGGATTTGGAAACTGTGGCAACGGAGTCTGTGGCTGACTTGCTGGTGGAGCTGCTGACAGGAGAGTTTATTCGTTAGAAAGCAAAGGGAATGGTTCCCATGCACTGTAATATCTCACAAAGGTATATCTTCTTGGCATATGTGTATTAGGTTGCCTCCCAGGTGGTATGAAAATATTTGTCCATGATGTATTCAGTAGTTCCTGAGGCTGACCTTCCAATGACTAGGTAATCACTGGAAGGTGTTGTCTTGTGTACCTAATCAAGAAGCTGGTAATACAATGAAGTAAAACTTATCTATGGTGGAACTATATTTAATGATTGTTTGAACTCACTGGGTAATACTTGTCGATTACTTCTTGTTAATTGTTATTCCATCTATTTCCCTGTAAATATCTATAGGTGCAGAGGAATGAATTCTCAAACTATTTCTCTGAGATTTTTTATTTCCTCAGCACTTTTTAAGTGTGTGCTGGAGCACCAGCAGTTTCAAAACCTCAAACTGAAAAGTCCACTAGTTGAATCTCTCTTAAAATTTATTAGTGTCGATACCTAGTATCAACAGAAGTTAGCTGTTGACAGACTGCTGTAATCCTTACGCAGATCTTTCTCATTTACAACTACATGTGAGAGGAATCCATGGGTAGTGTTCCATATCACCTGTTGTAGGTTATTTTGATAGTTGAGAAGTCAATATTCTCAAGCATGTATGTTGCTGTACAGTATAGGACACAAAATTATTCTAGCAAGGTATTATCTAGCAAGATAAAGAATACAACATTACAAATCTCTTTCCACGAAGAAATTCATTTGTGCTGATTACTCCTTTGTGCTTTCACGGCAAAAGTTGATCCCATTCTGTCATCTTTTTATTAGAAGCACCAGATTGCCTGTAACCATTTTTGTAGTATTTGCATTAATTCTGCAAGTCTGTAACAGGAGTAGAGCAGCTGTAATGCTCATACTCGTAGAACTTGAAATCACTGAAAATCAGTTGTGTTACTAGATAACATCTAACTCTGGCGTGCACTCATGATAAGTAAGACTGCAAGTCTTGCAGACATCCTGCAGCACCCATGTTTTTGTGGTAGCAATAGCCCCTACACGTACATATCACAAGCATGCAGTTAGACCAACACGTCTAGCGAACAGTGAGTTTCACTGTGTTATTTACATGTAACTTAGGCATGTGGTTTTTATCGCTTTGTATTTCCATTAGAAGGAAATGGTTTAGAAGTATACTGTGGTAAAAGACAGGACGGCTGTGGTCTAACTGTCCTCAGCTTATCACCCATTCTCATCGCAGCCCACCTCCTCTGAACCAGTTGTGACTGGTTCAGTTTACAGGGTTTTTCCACTAAATAACCAAACCTTCCTGCAAACAAACGCCCCAGCACTTAAAAATCCACTTGTCTTCTTATTTGGCCTAAATAAATAAAAATTAAAAGCTTAGTATGAACAGTATATATCTGTATAAATAAATTTCAGGGACATGTGAGCTGTTGCAGATGTAAAACCTGCAACCATGTACTTGAGAAACCCCAGAAACTGTGAGGTGATAGCTATGCTTAGCATTGTTTAGGGTTGCGTGTAGGCAGGGGGTTTTGTGCAAAAAGCTTAAAAAGCTGTGTTTTCTCTCTGTTTTCCTGCACTGCAAGGACAGTATCTTTCAGTTTCGTGTATGAGACACGACAAGTGGATTTGGGGATCATTTCCATGACAGAGATCTTGGTTCATTTAAGTGTTTCTCTAGCAGGGATAAAGGTAAGGGAGACCAGGACAGTAATATCAATGAAGCTACTGAAGTCTACAGTAACTGCATTCCAAAAATACCTTTGTACCTATTTGTCACGGTTTAACCCCAACCGGCCACTGGGCACCATGCAGCCGCTTGCTCACTCCCCCCGGGTGGGATGGGGGAGAGAATCAGAAGGGTAAAAGTGAGAAAACTCGTGGGTTGAGATAAAGACAGTTTAATAGGTAAAGCAAAAGCCGCGCATGCAAGCAAAGCAAAACAAGGAATTCATTCACCACTTCCCATCGGCAGGCAGGTGTTCAGCCATCCCCAGGAAAGGAGGGCTCCATCGCGCGTAACAGTTACTTGGGAAGACAAACACCATCACTCTGACCGTCCCCCCCTCCTTCTTCTTCGCCCAGCCTTATATGCTGAGCATGACGTCATATGGTATGGAATAGCCCCTTGGCCAGCTGGGCCAGCCAGGCCAGCCGTCCCGGCCACACTCCCTCCCAGCCCCCCACGCACCTGGCAGGGCACGGGAAGATGAAAAGTCCTTGACTAGAGTAAACACTACTTAGCAACAACTAAAACATCAGTGTGTTATCAACACTATTCTCATACTACATCCAAAACACAGCACTATACCAGTTAATAGGAAGAAAATAAACTCCATCCCAGCCAAAACCAGGACACTATCTTATTTCACTTTGATTGGAACAGAGCCTTGACAAATAATAGCACGGGATATCAGCTGTTTATCAAAGAGAGTTTGACTAAAGACTAGACATCACATCTTTCTTCACGTTGAAGAGTAACATGACATTGAAGGCAGTAATTAGTTGCATTGGCTTCAAAATGCAGATTGTAAAATAACTTGTAAGATATGCTGTTAGTAAAATAGCTGTGGCTGTTAGAACTGAGCCTTACTTATGTTCTCCTTCCCTTGCGATGGCGTGAGACCTAGAAGGCAGTCCTGTTGTAACAGCACTGCATTTCCCCCTGGCTTGGCTTGGCTCTTCAACAGAAAAGATGTAACGAGCTAGCTTTTATTGTTCTGTGTAGAAGTGTTCTTTTTTAATACATTGAAAAGCAGAAAACTGATGGTTTTAAGGATCTTTGATTCCCCGAGGAATTTATATGAACAGAGAAATGAATCAGGTTTTCTAGCCATCTTGGTACATGCTGTGGGAATGCTGGAGAACAAACACAGGCCTCACAAATGCACCTGGAGGAAAGCTTTTATTGCCCTCTATATCATTACAGATACAGTGAGTGTAAATGCTGCAGGCACTTATCTCCAAACTTCTGGCAGTGTTTTGCCCCAAACTGAGCAACTGAGTTTTACCCCAATATGTCTACTTCCAATTTTTCCACAGAAATTTGAAAGGAACTGATTTGTGGAACTTGAAGATGAAGAGTTCGAAGTCCAACATCTGAGAATTGTTCCTCTATTGTGAAAACACTTTCTCTAGCAAAGCTTCAGATTTAAGGTTTTGCTCAACTTAAAAAGGTATCCCTAAAGAAGATGACGTTCATGATCATTACAATTGTTTTCTTTCTTTAAAAATACAACATGCAGGTTTTCAGTCTGTGTCACAGTGCTGGTGTGGGGCCTGGTGGATTTCTTCCATTTCTGTACGTGTGCACCTTAGAATCGTTTTTATGCTCGTCTAACTTCTTAATTCAAAAATATTATGTTATTATATATATATATGGTACTTTTTAAAATTGTGTTTAATTGACTCTTAAAGAACACATCACTTCAGAATATTTAAGTGCTGTTTTGATGGATATATAAGAGTTGCAATAAATCATTGAAAGTAAAAATGAACAAATACCTGTGAATTTACAGCACAGGAATGCTCCTAATGAAGCCGTAAGCGCAATGACAAAATGCATCTGTGCTTTGTATGTCAGAAGCCCCGTTACACCTCTAAACTTCTGCATGCATAACTACTTTTAACATGAGTACCTCCCGCATTTTGCAATGAGGACTTTGGATTAAAATCCAAGGTACGTAATCTTACTCCTATTGCTCACCTCAGTTCAATACTCAGAAAAATTAGGAAAACCAGACTCATATAAAAACACTAGCAGTAAAGCGAAACAAGCCCTATGCACTAATGCCAGAAAATTATTTTGGGATTTTTTTTTTGTTGTTACATCTAACACTGAGAGCAGGGGAGTCTATATGGATAAGTATATAGCAAAGCAAATTGAAGACGATTTTGTAAGCCTTTCCTAAACCAGCATTTATGCTTTCTTTCTTTGGTGCTTGCTTGAAGCCCACATTCTATAGATGAAGAAGAGTACGATAAGATAGTACATGGAGCTCTTCAGAAGAAGGACGATGTACACTAAATATGCTGTCCTGTGCATTAAGTGATCTGTAACAAACATAAGACAGAAAAATCATGTTTAATGTCAATAATGTACAACCTCCTAAAAGACAGGTAGAACTGGGACTGTGTAGTCTGTTTACTGCTGCAATTACATTGATTCCAGTGGACAGTGTATAAACACATAAAATGTCTGACTGTCCTTTGGGTTTGCACTGCTAATAAGTTCTAGGCCGAGTGGGTTTCTTAGCACTAGAGTGCCTCTCAATGCCGCTGGGTTATTATTCCCTGCAAAGGCAAGAACATAATTCTAGTGCTTCTAGCACTGATTACCAGTAGCACCGTGTTTGCTTGAATCCTTTTGTGTTGGATGTTTTGAACATAAGTGCTCACGGTTGTTCCTAAATCCCCATTCAAGCTAAAAGAGAATTTTTTTGTCCGAAGTGTTGGGCAATTGCTAGGCTGATGGAGCATCAGCTGAAGCGTTGAGCATCTAACTACTTCAGGTATTTAAAAAAGTGGCACTGAATGCGGGCTAATAATCTAGTAGCCCAAACAGCATCTGTAGCATCCTAATAAAGCTCCTAATAAAGCTACCTAATAAAGGTAGGAGAGCCCCTTCTTATAATCCACAACAGAAATTAATTCGGAGTAGCATTGAAGCGTTTTTAAGTTACAGACCACAGACTTAGAACATTTCCAGTATGCTATTTATGAAGATCATTTTCATGGTGTTCTGCGCATATGTAGTAATATCTAACTCTTGCATGACATGCATCGTTTTCCCACATTTTAATACATTTCAATTACCTCTATTAAAAACTGTGCTGTTTCCAGGGTATGTGCTGCAGTCCTCTTCCTGAAGAGCAGGCTTTGAAGAATCTAATGGAAAGAGAGTTTAAATGCCCCAATTAGGCTTTTCTTTAATTTTAACAAACATAATTGAGAAATAGGGAAAAAAGAGGCAGTATAGGAATGGCAAAATGGGAAGTTAGTATTAAACAACAAAAAAAAGATGTTTAAGATCTGTCTGCAGAGCAGATATTCACAAGTAGGATTCATTTGCAGAGAGAATCTGAAGGGGGGAAATGCTCGTAGAGAAGTGACTGGGTATTCGTTGCTGTAAGTGGGAGGTTTGCCTTTGCCCTTTCAGGAATGTGTCCGTTAGGCTGTTCCTTGGCAGAGTCTCTTTTATTTGGAACTGCAGTCAATTTGACCACCTGATCTTGTCACTGAAGTAGCTAGAGTCTGTTTGCCTTCACAACGTACTGTTATTTGAAATGCAGAATAATTTACTTCGGAAAGGACCTCAATTAGTCTTTTACTTAATGGTTGCTCAACACTAAATAATCTTGAGGAGAGTATGATCTAAGGTTCCCCTATTGGGAATTTGCTATTTTGGTGGTGGTTGTTCTCTAAAATAAATAAACCCTTTTTGTGCTTGAAGCAGCAAATTTGTATTTTTCTTGGTTATGGTGTTTGTATGCATTGATACATGGGCTTAAAGACATCCATATTACATCCCTAAATACATCCTCCATCTAAATAAACTTAAAGCATATTTTTGTCAGAATATATTTTGAAGGTTGAAATGTAATGGTTATTTATGGCCATGCTCTCACTTACTGGAGTTAACGTTAATTTATAGTAAGTTGAACAGAGGTAGGTACTGAGAAGAGATTAATCTAAACCAATATAGGCAGCTTTTCTTAAAGATATTACCATGATTTAAACAATTTGCATTGGTTATAGGTTACTTTTTTCTTTAAAATTGCATGGTCTTTCAGATTTTGCTTTGCATAATCAATCTTTCCACAATTAAATGAGATATGTTGATATATAGTTATTACCTCACCATTTCTGGACTATGAGTAAGTAATATATTTATACTTTGTTCTACATCCCCCTCAACCTCCTTTTTAACTGCTTAGTTTTTTATAGCTGTGACTAATGTAAGAGGGTATCAGAGGGACTTACATCCATGTAAGCCATGGGTAACAGAGAGGCAATACTGTTTCCAGAAACTTCTGTAGACTGGAAAGTAACCAACACGGCTCAGTGCAGACCTTTTGGAGCTATGCTAGTTTACACCTGATGAGGTTCAAGAACTGCTCTTTTCCTATTACAGGGGGACATTCACTTGGGGAGCGTAGCACAGGCTGAGTTGTTTTTCCTGGGAAAACTTTGGTAGTTTCTCTGGATGTGTATTTTAGCTATTATTGTGCCAAGGAGCACAGATGCTTTCAGGAACAGTAATAGAAAGCATTATTTCTATAATTTTATTGCAAAGAAAAAGTGATGTCTATAATAATACGTAGAATGAATTTTTTAACATGTAGTATATACCTTGTGTCGGCAGTGAACGCTGTTGGCTTTCGTGCTCGTAATTGCAGTAATAGTTCTTGTCTTTATTCTTTACTGGTACAGTTAACCAGCTGCCGATTGAGTATTCATCCTCTCCTGTGGGCTTCCAAGTATCTCCTTTTACTACATTGTCTGTTATCTCCTTATTTTCTCCATCGGTCCATGTCACCCGAATAACTTCTGGGTAGAATTTCTCAATAAGGCAAACATAGGTTATCTGATTTTCATGTTTCTTCTGCAGGATTTCAGAGTTTGCCGGTGGAGAATTTCCTTTGTCTGGATTGGTTATTGCAGGGAAAAAGATTAACAAAATAGAGAGTTGGAAGATCAATAGTGTACACCAAATAAATACGCAGCCACAAAATACAAATTCTGAAGAGCAACAACCTAAATGTCTTATTAACAAATGTTTTAGCTCTCTAATTTGTTATGAAATACTTAGGATGGGAATAGAAATGTCTCGAGTATGAAAGGAATTTTAGGTAATAGGATAGATGAATTACAGCTGTTTCCATCCTTGAAGTAAAAATAGGTTTTTGGCAAGCTGGACGAACGTGGCATTCAAACACACTTTATATTAAATATTATTTCAATGGAGCCAAATGGCAAGTTTTAATTTTCAGTCAAAACCAGTTACAATATTATTTAGAATAATCGGGAATAGAATATATGACTTTTAATCTTATTTTTAAATGTATTATTTTATAGAGAACTAAAATGAATAGAGGCTTTTATGAGTCTGGTACAGAAAATCAAGCTCAAAATCAGAAGACAAGACTCCATTCAAATATTCTAAAGTAGTTTTTGTTTAGATAATATAGAGTCTTCCAGATTCCGGAGAATGTTTGATCTAAGCTTTGATACTGTGCCATGTGCATGGAGAACATTATTTAGGTCCTAAATTGTCTAGTGAACACTAACATCTAGACTGCTTCATTCATGCTTCTTGTAAAGCGGCACATCTGATAGAGGAAGATTAGAGTAGACTAGGTCTACTCTTTAATACTCTGATACTAGAATAGATTTAAAAATATCTTAAAAAAGATTTATTGAGTATTTTATTAGAAAAATAAATTTAAGTCTGGTTATTTAAAAACTTAGAAACCTACTCAAGAAAGTTTGAAAAATTATTTTTGAGAAACATTAAGAAACTGAAATATTGTTGAAGATATTAATAATCTCCCTTGAAACTGAGCTAGAAAACTTCAGGCAACCAAGCGAGAGCTTATATCCCGCAGCCTTCCAAGCAGTGCTGCTGTCAGAAAGTGTATTTGTCTGCACAAGTCTTTGACAATTTTTAAATAGTAGTAATAGTTCCTGAAAGAGCGTTATTCATTCATTTCATAAGAAGAATTTAATACTGGTTTATAATGTTTATACAAAAACAACTACGTGAAAATTTTGTCTACAGAGTGTTGAAGATAGATGACCTGCCTTTCAAATCTTTGCAGTTTTATGTCCCCAGTATAAGTCCCCACTGCTAATTAATGAACATCTGCTATATCTAATTAATTTTTTAAAAGCTGATATGAATTTTGTGATTTGGAGGGGGGCGGGGGGGAGGCAACAAAAATGTGTTGTTGCCATTTTTTTGAAGACATTCTATGTATTTGCCGGGTAAAGATCTTGATAAAGACAGGAAAATGGAATCACAAAATGCTCGGGACCCCAAAGGTTGGCAATGCTGTTCCTTTAATGCTAGATTTGTTTAAATGTTTGAATTAACATATCTGAAAATGAAAAACCAAAACTAAACTAAAGCAGAAGAACATGCTATATCTAGATAACATTTCAATATCCAAGTAGCATATCTATCCATACCAGGGTTGTCGTAGATGATGTGCTTTGTGAAACATGCTCACTATGAACATACGTGAATAGATTTTAAATGAAAAGTGAGCTGTTTCCACAAACTAACTGTAGGTAATCTCCATTTCGTTTGCATCTCTGGATTAAACCTTATGTTATTAGGGGGAGTCCAAATCATCCAAATTTTGTCCACACAGAGAAGACATTTTGATATTATAAAAGTGGATAGTAAATTTAAGAGTCTGTTTTAGTTAAACATGAACTTCTGCAGTGCGTGCATAGGCAGTGGTCGTGGGCAATCGTTTTTTTCTATGCTTAACTGCAAGTGAAGACTGGATACAGTTTTCAAAATTGACTTTTTTTGTATAGAAGGTACTGCTTAAGACTGTTGTTTTTTTTTTTAAGGCAGCAGAGAGATTTTAGGTGTTCATCTCCTTACACCACTCTTTCTCTTTAGATTCCTATGTAAATCTCCGCCACTGAATTTGAGCAGCTAGATGCACAGGGTTTAAAGTGTGGTCTGACTGAGTGGTGCAGTTTTCATGCATTGTGAGAAAACACATTAATATAAACATGGTTTTTTTGTCAAAAAGTTTCCACCTTTCTTTAAATGATCTGGCTATTCTAGAGCAATCTTCTACATTGCAACCCTCCTTAAACAACTTAGTGATTCTTTGAAGTATTTCATACTCGGTGTTTAAAAACAAAGATGACTAAAGCATAAGGCTGTCTACCTTCAAAAAGATAACCCTTATATTATTAATTTTTTTCATTTTGGAGATTTGAAATGAAGATGTGGACTGAGTTCTGTTGTACCAGAAATAAAATTGCTAACAATTTTATAGTTGTCTAACCTTAATTTAGGGGTTAATTTTATCTTCTTTCTGCATCAGTCCTCCTAGGGATGCAAGATTAAACTAATTTCTAAAATTATTTATTTGTTCCAGAGTTGTATATGTTCAGAAGACCATGATGTAGCTCCTGTCCCAGTGACATTGCACTCTGCAAAGCCTCATGACTATTTTAGATGTTTCTTTCAGATTTTCAAAGCTCATTAGGTTACCCTGACTAATTTCACTAGGCTAAAATTTAATTGTCTAGTTTGATGTTATTCTCTTGGATTATCAAATCCAAATAGAGAGGCAGAGAGAGATGCTTCCAGCTGCTAGTTCATCCTGACCATTTTAGAGACTTCTATTAAGATGGAATAATTTCCACCTCTGGAATTGCCGATGTCTTTCCTTTTACCATAAAAAGACCCTTGGTGCTTAGCTTAAATGAAACACCTAAATCGTATCACAATACTGAGGAAATATATTGCTTGAATAACTGCAACTGTGTGTATGCATGGGAGAGTCTCATGTACACACATAGGTAAATGGGTGACAGTGGAGAACTGAACAAATTAAGTTTTGCATATATATGTGTATATATATGTTTACGTGTGGATAAACTGTAGGTATGTTTATGGAAAAAAGGATGAAAACTTGTAGAATTGGCTGAAGATTTTGATATATTTTCAGGCTGATCTGTAAAGTCGTTGAAGTCAACAGGACAGTTTACACTGGCTTTTCTGGGCAGATGATCCTTTCTGAAGAATTTTAAAGCCATGAACTTTCACTCCACTGTCTTTTTTGTTTTAGTTAAACTTAGTTTACTTTGTTAAACAGTTTTCTAAGGCAGGTTTTAAGAGGTACATAGATCTTACTTTTTAAAATAATATATAAGCATGTGCAGATATTTCTTAAGCTAAAATCTGTCTTTTCTCTCTTGTAATCATGCAGTGAGCCTGCAAAACACTGTGCAAATAAAATTCTGGAGTTAGGCTTGTAATCAAGGAGCTATTAATGAATTTGGGTTCAAAATACATGTTTTTATAAATTAACTGTCAAAAGTTTTCTTAATGAAACTCCTCCACAGTTTCTTTATAAGTATCTATAAACAAGATTTATAAATAAACTCAATGTGTTCTTAAGCTGAAATTTTAATTCTTATTACTTGGATGATCCCACAAAATGGAGTAATTTTGTCTGAAACTCAAAGCTCCACAGTTCCCCTTCAAGCACTCAGCACACTCAGCTCATAAACAGTGTTCTTGTCCTGCTTGCCAGCGACTTCAGTTGTAGTTGTATAGTCCTGACCTACTGTGAGCCTCCCCAGATACCTTAAAGAGCTGTCCTCCTTCACTCCAAAGCTTTCCCATTACAAAACTTAAAAAAATAAGTCTTTGAAAACACTTACTGGACACGATGAGTTTTGTGCCAGAACCAAATATCTTGTTGAACCCCCACTGGTACATTCCCTTACAAAAACTGCTTGGGACGTTTTGGCCGGACAAGGACCGGATTTAACAACCATCATATGAACAATAAGAGTCTATTCATTTGGCTACATGAATGTAGAAAATTTGAAAGCAATCTCAGCTAATGCTGCTATTCCCAAAGAGCCTTTAGTGATACGTACTTTAAGTTCAGTTTCAAACTAATCTTTGCCATCACTTGTTTAAAAAAATATCAAAACGAGCCAAAACTGTTGTTATCCGGGGCATTGATTGAGCTACCATATTTCCTCTAGATTTTTTTTCTGGAAAAATTATTTTTTTTCTGGGATGGTGAGTGTTTTTGATCACACAATTTAAAAATACATGCATGCTAGACCACTGTTTAACTGAATTAATGAAAGGCAGTCCTGAACAGCTATGACCCCTCTCAAGCCTAGTGGAGGGGCATTTACTCATCTTGGGCCTAATCCTCTGCATGTTGAGGTTACTGTAATCTGCTTAAATGGATGCGAGATCAGGACTGTTCACCCTCAAATCTTGCCGTACTTGCCTATGCAATACTGTTGCAGGTAGTCAGTACCAAAAGGAAACATCACACGTGCATCTATGTATGCTGTAGAGCAGCATCAACTTCCATCATTCCCGTGCACGTCCTTCCCCAGGGTCTTCTGGCTTCTCCTCAGGGAAAACCAGCTGCACCTCACATGAAATCCTGCCGACACTGAAACCAATGGCAACATTTCCAAAGGTCCAGGATTCCCGCCCCCCCGTTTTAATCTTCTGATAATTTATTGTCTGCCTGCAGCTTACCGGTGCTGCGGTGCATCCAAGAGAGCTCAGTTCCTCTTGGCTGGAATAAATCAGCTTTGTTAGGACAAATCCATGGGGAAGAACCTTCCCCTTGACCAAACAGAGAGATGCAGAGCTTCAGCCATGATTTAGGGGATCTGTTGGCACTCACAATGTTTTCCTGGACAGCACCTCTATTCCCCCTGCTCTGAGGCCAAGGGGTGATCTACAGCTGTGTTTCTGAGTTACCCTGACCCTGCTGCTCTGGGCAGTAAGCTTTGCAGCAGGGAATGACCTGATGTAGCCCTAAGTATCCAAAAGAAGTTATATTTCAGCAATTTATGGTTTATGTGAAATCCTGTAGTTTACTCTGACCTCTCTTGTACAAGCATTTGGATGCTAAAGAAATGAATTCTCCTACTGCAAAGTCCACAACACTTTCCTGTGTTATACTTTTAAATCTGTATTTTAATGTGTATTATAATTTTAAAATAGCATATCACATTTCCCTCTCCTCTAGATCTTGGATTATCAGAATAAGGGATATTTTCTTAGATAATAGAAAACTTACCAGAAACAATAAACTTTGTGCCAGTTCCGAAGACTTGGTAATAGTCACTGTGTACAAGTGCTTTGCAAAAATCCACCTAGTCTCAATGTTTTTAAAACTTCATTTTGTGTACCAGCCTAGCCTCATTTTCTTATTAGAAATGCACCTGTTTCTTTTGACACTCTGATTTCTATAATTAGAACTTTCCTTACAAAACGGTGTATGGATGAACCTGTGTTTGCTCATACAACAGATTTCGCTTTTATGTTAGTCTTCCAGGTTTAAATAGATAAGCTTGCATGTACACAAAACCTAAGGATTTGGAATACTGACAAAATGGAGGATGGAGCCCTAATTTGACAGTGGGCATTCAAAATCATGGAAATATTTAAGCAGATCCTGCGCACCTGAGATTTGTAATTTTCGAGACTGAGACTCCTTCAGTATTCCCTGAGGTTTCTATGGAAAATGTGAGGAACAGTAAAGGTTATCACCTTGACAACATGGGAAATAACGCATTTATATATATGTACGTGTACATCTGTGTATGAATATATATCCTACAACAACAACCTAGCACTGCACGCTATCACCCATTCAGGCTGATCTTTTTGGGCCATGGCTTTAGGATAACAGAGTTAGCTCGTTAGCCTGCACCGGTAAGCTGCAGGCAGACAATAAATGATCAGAAGATTAAAACGGGGCGGGGGGAAATCCTGGACCTTTGGAAATGTTGCCATTGGTTTCAGTGTCGGCAGGATTTCATGTGAGGTGCAGCTGGTTTTCCCTGAGGAGAAGCCAGAAGGCCCTGGGGAAGGACGTGCACGGGAATGATGGAAGTTGATGCTGCTCTACAGCATACACAGATGCACGTGTGATGTTTCCTTTTGGTACTGACTACCTGCAACAGTATTGCATAGGCAAGTACGGCAAGATTTGAGGGTGAACAGTCCTGATTATGAACAGGGCAATGTACACACTGAAACCTGTTTGTGAACATTGCCTTAAAAGAATTGGATACTCAGTTTATCTTTATGCCCATGAAATCCTACATATTTTAAAGCCCTTAGCAAATGTTCCTAGTAATATTAATCATGGTAAGAGGCTTTCACTCTGCAGATTTCTTTTGAGTGGCCACATCTTCCCTTATTTATGTCTTACAGCTCCATCCTTCTACCCTAACACTCATTTGGACTTTCAAGTCTACTAGGTTTTGGTTCAGGGCTTCATGTTTTTTCCCCATTAAAAAAATACTAATGCAAATTAATGCATATATTAATCTTCACCATTTTGATTTAAAAGGGTAGAAAGTCAGTTTAATCCAACTTCAGGTAATGTATAAATGAATTTAAGTATAATCTATCTTTAGGCAACCTATATTTTATAATGTATAATTAAAAAAGTAATTGTAGCTTTTTGAACTCTGAACCTTAATGTATTTGATGAAAACAAGGTAGATACTTCAGTAATATTTAGGAGCTAGCATTTAAACAAATCAAATATTCCTGCCATAATTTCTGCTGTGAAATTATTTCCTAGAAATGTTAGTAGATTGTTCTTTTTATCACTTCAAAATAAGTTAGCAATATGCTTCTGAGTTGCCAGGGAGACCCAGCTGCAGCTGTAGCAGAAGGGATGGCAGAGGGAAACCAGCCCCACGCTGGCTGAGCAAGCTACTCTGCTTCTGTGTGGAAGGAAAAAAACTGGATTTGGAGAGGCCAGTTCAGTGTTCGGTTCAGTCTTGGCTTCCCTGTTGTGGCCTTGTGAGTGCCTAAATTCCCTGGGAAGATACTTGCAGAAGAATCCTGTATGGCCAGTTTATGTTGGATTAACATTCCTGTTCTGCTGTAAGCTTCTAAAAACTCATCTATTCCACCAAATGCAAATGCCAAACTAGTCTCTCAAATCCCAGCCCTTCTGTTACCTGCATTATTGTAAGTCTCAAGCAACTTTCTTTTGGTCAGAACTAATTAAAAAGACCAACAAGAACAAAATCAAGTTCATTACAAGTTGATGGGAGTTTGGCTGTTTATACATTTGACTCTTTCAGTATAGATCTGGGAAAAGATTCTGCTCAAGCTCAAACCCTGATGATTCAATTGAATTAAAGTCACTTATCCTAAGTCCTGGTTTTCTCCATTTCTTTCCATTAGGACTAACTTTCTGAGCTAATGTTAGATAGTCACGTCTGAAAAGGCAAGCTGTGATGAAATGCCTGATCTGAAGCATGAGGTAACTACAGCCCTTTTACTCTATTAATCAGTCAGAAGCCTTGGGCACATAAAGACAAAATCCTACAGAATTAGAGCGATGCTTGAAAAGAATTTATTTTAAACTGTAGATACTAAAAGCATGGCGACTACCTGATTAACAAGGTGAGGATTTTCACTAAAACCAGCACGCTTATCCTGACACGGATATTTCTATTGAATTATAGTTATGATTTACTTAGTCCTTCTGACATAAATCATCAAAACCAATCTTTGCTTGATACGCTAATATAAGTTTATGTATTTAATCAGGCTTAAAACATTTGGTAGCAATAGTTCCTCTGCCTTGTGTTTGTGTAGTTGTTTATTCCAGGATTATGGCGTTTAAAGCACATTTAATGGGAAAAAGATTTTTGTCCTCCACTTTCCATTAAAATAAATCTCTCTGCAGGAAAGGCAAAAAAATGGATCACTTCTTCATGTGCGTGTTATTAAGCAATAAGAAGAGCATTTAGAGGTACTAATTTTTTCTACTGCCAAAGTGCTGTGTACATGACAAAAATAACTATGAACAAGTTATTTCACTTTTACTAGCCTAATTAAAAAACGGATTTTGGCAATGGCCATTGCATATCTCTCATTGTATCTGTATTGGGAAGAGGTTTTCTTTTTTTATTTTAATTCTTTTATTTAATTTTAAGAATTATATTTAATTCTTTTAATTCACAGCTGCTTGATTCCCTGCTTATTCCCTCATTACAGCTGGAGGAAAGAACAAGGGCTCTGGAAACTACTACAGGCCATTTTCCACCACATTTCCAAGGAGGAGTATAATCAAAAGTGGCTCAAAATATCTCCTTTTCAGAAATGTTTGTGATCCTAAACCACTGCATGACAAATACAACAAGGCTAGGAATGACAAGCCGGGAAGGGGAATCCTGCGCAAGGATGGTGCCGCTGAGGCTCTAAGCGGGCTGAGAGCCCTCTAGGACACTGTAACACTCATCTATATGACCACCCCAAGCTCCTATAGCTTATTGTATGGAAAATAGCGTGTAACTTACCTGACACAATGAGTTTTGTACCGGAGCCAAACACCATGATGTAATAAGAAACCACAGTGAATAAAGTTTTTGCAATAACAGTGCAGCTCTGTTATCTTTATATGGGTAAATAGTATTCTTTAAAGAAAATCAGATTTGCTGTATAATCAATTTTTAGACCCTAGAAAAGTAAAATAGAGCAGTTGCCTAAACTAAACTAAAAAAAAAAAAAAAAGGTGGAGGTTTTTGAGGGCATGTATGTTGTTAAATGGACAGGATTCATCTCAACTAATTTTAGTCTTCTGAAAGTTTAGACGGACGGTGCAGATTAAGCACCTTGGCTCCATCTCTGCTTTCTGGAGAGAGGCAGCACTAGCAGGGGATCTATTTGATCAGATATTGGCCAAGTAATTTGCTCCTTATACACCCCCATAAAATCAGACCTGGAATTGGTGAACATTATGCTGAGATCTGAGCAGCACAAGACCCCCGACCAATATTTTTGTTGTCAGTAACATGTCAAAACCCTGCATGGATTGGAATCGAACCTCCTACTAACCAGATGATACACCATTTTCAGATAGTTAGAATTAGGCAAACTATTTTCATCTCAGGTGCTTAGCTGAGCCGAATCACAGGCAAGTATCAAAGGGCACCTGAAGTTTACTTGAAGCAAAATAATTTTGATAAGTATGTCAAAACATTTTGAGTTTGGCATTCTTCCTTAATCATAGTAATAACTTATAATAAGCAGTTTCTGCAAAAGCTAGGAAGCAAGAGCAGCCTTTCAACTATGTGTATCTTCAGACAGTTTGGGCATATCTCAGATCTAACTCCTTTCATTTGGTATAGTCAGACATAGTCCTAAAGGAAAACGTTTTGCTTTTCAAAGAATTTGAGAAACCCAAAGGTTTGACACTTTTCTTTCAGAATGAATTAGAAATATTACAAAGGATGAATATGCATATTTAAAGACAAAAACATCTTTCAGTTCTCCAAATGCTATCTTTGCCATATTTAAATTCATCTTTATAAAGAAAATAATAATGGGGCTAGTTATACCTCTGTGCTGCAATAGCTGTTGTGTTTCCCCCATTTCATGCATAAATACAGAACAATTACATTGTGTTCTGCATATGGAAATACTGTTTAAGAGGAAAATCCTGCAAAGCATGCGGTAGGGTTAAAACTAGCAGCAGCTAAAATAGCAGAGCACTTCACGCAGCCAGTATCTAACTGTATTGAAAAGCATTTCAGAAGTAGTTAAGTTTTACATTTTGTACTTACTTGAAACAATAAGCTTAGTTCCACTTCCAAATATTTTGACATCAGCATCCCACAGTCTCATAATGCTTAGCAATATCTCCTGCACTGCACTTTTCTTGCATAGGCTACAGAACAAGTCTCTCTGATTTAGTGGTTGGTGATAAATCTGGCCCAGTGCAATAGCTGAATTTTCAACATTGGCTAGAGTGACATTTTTAGAAATGAGTAAAAAGTTCAGGTTTTTAAACCCAGCATTTTCTGAGCAGAAAGCAGTGCCGTGCTTATTTTATAGCTGTTCTAATCCTTTTAAGTCTGGGATTTCTCTAACAAAGATCTGTTGCCTCTGGTCTGCTAGGTTTTCTCTGAAGTAATCTTTTTTGCTGTTTTAAGGAGAAATGTGGTTACATTATGATTCCCAAAGGAAATTAAGGAAGTTTACTAGTTAAGTGTTGATTTAAATTTATAGGTAAACAATTTTTTTTTCCTAAGTGTCCTATCTTGTGAATTACTCGTTGTGTGAAAGTACTTTAACTAAAGTTTCATCAAAATTATATTTTGAAGCCCGTATTTTAAATGCAAAGTCCATATTCTAAACAAAACTTACTGACCCCCATAACTAAGTTCATGCCCTTGGTAAGTGGTTACGCTGTTGTCTTTTTGGCAAAAGCAGCTGCTTCTACACAGGCACAGTTTAATTGCAAGTTGCAGCAGAGAACATTTTTGGTCAGAGGCATGGATAACATTTCAAATTTCTCTGTAACTCTCATCTGCTTTGTACGATTTGACTTAGTTATAGTCACTTTGATAATATAATGTATTTTCTGAGCAACATACTGTAGGCACTGCTATAGGCTTTATACTGAAAACAGCATTCATCCTATTGATTGCATAGCTTCACCACAATTAAGAATAATACAAATGCAAAAGTAAACCTGTTACTTTCAGTAGGGCAAGGAACTAGAAACTTTTTACATTCCAGGCAATTTTCCTTCCCGGTCAACTTAGACTGCACCACCTCTATCAATAAGAAATTTTTTGCATTTCTCACTTGCTGTCCTGAGAGAAAACTTTCAAGCAGTTCACTTTTCTTTCCCAAAACAGGAATGAATCCATCCCAATATTTAAATTTTTACCTCTCCTCATTTTTCCATTCTGCCGTCCTTAATAAGTGTTCAGTACTTGTTCTAGAGGTGATCTCTGTATTCACAAGGTCAATATATTTATTGCCCATCAACCCACACAACTGGGGCACCACCACAGTTCACAGATAAAACATGATTTATGAGGCAGAAATTAATTTTCCTGCAGTCTTTCATTCTTAATTATCTGAGAACCTGAATTACTCTGTGAAAACCAGATCAATAATAATGGTACTTACTGGAGATAATTAACTTGGTTCCTGTGCCAAAGTATTTGATCCAGGTGCTCCACACTATGTTTTTACTTTGCGATAACCTACCATGCTCTCTTGCTATGCCATTGTTGAAGAAAATCCCATTTTTTTCCCAATCAGCCCCGGGAGACTGAGTGAAGGCCTGGCCCTTGGCTACTGGGAGGATATCAGGAATTTCAGACTTGCACCTGGTTGTTCAGCTGATATCTAATGCCCTTCAGAGTAAATCTCTTTCCCGAAGTGTTGCAAGTTTGTTAGATAACCCCTCCACTTAACACCTAAGAATTGGGTGAAGGTTTCTCTTCAGTTTTAGACACACAAATAGGTGCACAGAGTTGTGCATGTCAAAAACCACATACCTTCAGGTGACGATCCTGCTCTTTCCCAAAGGGGTACACCCCCTCTCACCTGCAATTAAATGACATCAAGTACGACTAGCATGGAGTTCATTTTTAGTTGTCTTAATACAATTCAGCAGAGGGAAAGGAGGGAGAGCCAGCACCATAGGCATCACAAGGGTGTCTGTGTGCTGCAGGTTGCATTTTCTGCCCTGGTACGTGGTTATTGTCTGCCCATCTCCTGGAATCACTCCAGGCTCTGCAACAGCAGCTCACTGGCATCTTTTCCTATACTAGCTGGTGGGAGAAGGTGGCTTTTCCTTTGCGCACGGGTTTCTTACAAAACAGCCCAAGATAACATCAAAGGAGTCACTGCTACTGTTGATCAAACAGCCTCCATGCTTAGTTTGCCGTTTAAAAGAAACTGAGTTTGAGTGCTTCTGGGATCTCGTGTGGCATACCGACTGCAAAACAACGTTAAGAAATTACGATCTGTGGCTAGAGGGAGGAACTAGACTGAGGGTGAAGGTCTTTCAGTTGAAGTAGGTGTAACAAAAGCAATTGTCTACTCTGAAAGGTCCTGGGCAGGAACATCGTAATCGCAACCACAAAGCAATGGCAGGAGTGATGTAGACAGAGAACGGTGCCAACCGGTTCTTTTCCTGCCATGTCCTTAGACACACAGCGAAGGAGGCCACCACCGTCTCACCTGCAGTTGCTGGAACTGTTGGATTATGGTCATGACAGTGAGTAGCTGGGAGGTCTCATTAGACGAAATAAAGTGAAACACTGCGTATTGCAGACAGCTTGTCTAACTGCCCTGTATGATCTGGGCATGCAAGTATGAGGAGGACAAAACTAACCTGTAGCCATTTGGAGACCTAATACATATTTGAAATTGTTGTGTCACTTTTTCGTCCCATCAGACTACTGTTCTTTAATGAGTTACACTTCAATGAACCAAATGAGGAGAGTATCAGGGTACTATGATGAACACTAGTGAAACACAGACAGTGATAAGAAAGAAGGAGAGGGAAAGGGACTGATACAGCTCAAAAAGAAAGAACACAAATGCCCACCACCAGATCTCAGGAGGAATAAATAGAGAATCTTCCTTCTTTGACAGCTGCTAACTTTTAAGTGAATATAAGACTCCCTTTCCTTTGCTTAAAATTTCACAAATCTTCAGCCTAAAACTCTCTATTTCAGTTTTGTTTGCCAGGCCAAAGTCTTTGAAGAGCTCCAGTAAAATGTGCTGATCTATTTCCAGGAACAACAATATAGAAAACTGCCCTCTTTCCGTTAAATAAATCCTTGCAACCAGTTTGCTGACATGCTTGAGCGAAAAGGAGAAGATGGAATGGAAGGGTCAGGTTAGGTATTGGACCTTCACCGTCCCCTTTGCATTTTCACTTGCTCAGTCGAAATCTCTAGCTTTTGGCAGCTGATGCTTCCAAGGAGTTGGTCAGCACCACACATGTCCTGCTTCTCCAGAGCCTGTGTGTGAGGCCAGGCAGCTCACCCACACCAGGGGAAGTGAGTTGGGATCTTTCAAGTGGTTTATGGTTGAGAAGCTGAGGGAGTATTTGTCTAGGTGATTTCTGAGTTTCTACCACTGTGACTATGATAGTAGGCGCAATAGTAGGTAGCAGTGTCATCTGGAATGACATCGTTTATTGTAAGAACACACCGGTTCTGGCCAGAAACCTTTTCAACCATGTACTTGTTTGCTTGGAAGCCCTCATCTACTGTTTTTGTCTGTGATAAGTAGAGCATCCTCTCTGGAGCTTTATTCGCCTTCTGTTGATACCAGTGTATAACGGTGCCATCAAAATTTCCAGAGAAGTCTTTAAAGTGACATTCCAGGCGTACACTTCCTTTAGACTTGGTGACAGACAGAGGGCTCTGCACGGGAATTACTTGTGCATATCCATCTACGAAAAAAAAAAAGAGGAGAAATTATGTCATTAGCTGGAATTCAGGGATTTGGGAAGACGCCTGTTAGCACAGCCATGGGTGCCTGTGAGGAAAGGTAGGAAGATAAGGAAGGACTTACAAGACCAAGTGACTGTGGCCACAAGCGCTGCCAGCAGCAACATGTTTGCTTGTCACGCTCTGCTGTCTTTGAGACTCAGAGGAGAAGGAAACCGGCCCCGGTGCAGAGTGAGCAATGCCGCGTGGGAGGAGGAGGGGACTGCCTTGGGTGGCAGCTGGTCATGCTATGTGTCAAGCCAGAGGAACGTGTCCCCTGAGCTCCTGTGGGGAGCAGTGGGGATGGGGGAGCAAGTGGGAAGGGAAGGGAAGGGAAGGGAAGGGAAGGGAAGGGAAGGGAAGGGAAGGGAAGGGAAGGGAAGGAGAGGGAAGGGAAGGGAAGGAGACTCCTCCCTGCATGAGGCTTTGCTCTGTGGACAGACCATGGATGGCTGTTGTGAAGCTCGGGAAGTTCTGGTCCCCTGTGAGACATCTGGAGTGTGCCAGAGGTGGGGAAGCCACTGGAGATGGGTCTCTTAATGGTCCACATCAATTTTACTATCATAAAATGGACATAGTGATGCCACACGCTCCAACAAGGATGAGGTCTCCTTCAGGAAGCTTTCTGACACCATGACAGGACCACAAGGGAAAGGTCCCTGAGAAAAACATCAACGCAGACTGCAGCACTGCAAGTGCAGTAGCGATGGATGCTGGAAACCACTGCACGCGGAAGGCAGAAAACAAAAAATAAGGATGATTCACTGAACTAAGAGGAAACTCTTTGGAAAACTGCCATGAGATCCTATCAATAAAGGCAGCATGTGAGAGTACCAATTTCTGGCTGAGAGTTGGGCATCACGCCACCAACTAGCCCTGAAGATACCAAGAGGATTCAGTGAAATCAGTGAGCACCTGTGTGCTTAACTTCACTTTGTGTTTAAGACTTTCAAGACCTGAGGCTACTGGTGTTTAGTGTTTATTTGCACCTAGCCCAGGGACTTACAGTTGTTTATACGTAGAGCAAAGAAGACTGCAGTGGGGAACACGGAAAGCTTTTTCTTAGAAGTGCTAGGCGGTGGCAAGCATACCGTTCCCACCACCAAGGTACTTTCTTCAGCATGTTGCCTTTCTTTTACTGCCTTCTCTCCTAGGGGAGAACAGTGGCTTAGAACATCAATGCAATGTTTGTTCCCCTCAAGGGCCACCAGACTTCTGCCATGGCTGTGCAAACAGCACCAAAGGAGCAGGTGAGTTTCCAGTATTTATGTGCTAATTCTTAAGGCAGTGAAGACTTCCTTTGTCCTTAGAATAGTAGACGTGTGTTTGAAGACCAGAATGCTATTGACAACCCAGGCTTTGAAAAGGACAGTTGTGCAGGGTTAGCTGCTTTTTTGGGTAGCAGAACAAGGTTTGGCCTTTCTGCAGCTGATACCAGATGGAGTTAGAAGATCAGGGGAGTGGCACAATTACAACCCTGTGGTTTAGACGTTGAGGGAGGTTTTTTTTTTTGCCTTGATGATCTCTGAATTTCTATCACAGTGAGGATCCCAGTAGGCACAGTAATAAGTAGCAGCGTCATCTGGAATTACATCTTTTATTGTAAGAACGCACCGGTTCTGGCCAGAAACCGTTTCAACCATGTACCTGCTTTCTTGAAAGCCACTTTCAACCGAAGCTTTCCCTTCTGAAAAGAACAGGAGCCTCTCTGGAGCTTTACCCTCCTTCTGTTGATACCAGTGTATGACGGTGCCATCAAAACTTGCCCCTAATGTTTGAATTTCACATGTCATCCGTGCACTTTTTCGGAACTTGGTGATGGATATAGGGCTCTGCACGGGAATTTCTTGTGCAACACCATCTAGGAAAGAGAAAAAGAGAAATTATGTCATTAGCTGGAATTCAGGGATTTGGGAAGAAGCCATGGGTGCCTGTGAGGAAATGTAAGAAAATAAGGAAGGACTTACAAGACCAAGCGGCTGTGGCCACAAGTGCTGCCAGCAGCAGCATGTTTGCTTGTCACGCTCTGCTGTCGTTGAGAGTCAAACGAGGGTGAAAGGGACCCCAGATGGGGACAGTGTTGTGTGGAAGGAGGAGGTGGCTCTCTTGAGCTTTCTTCAGCAACAGGTCTTCTGTGTGCAAGCAGATGTGGCACATTTGCAGAAAACCCTCTCCAGGATAGCAAATGCTAAAATTGGTTAGAGGTTGTTGTCCAGCCTGCTTTTCAGGTAAATCTGAGAAACATTGGTAAATCCTAGGATTGTGGCCCTTGAAAACTCAAGCCGGAGGCACTGAGAAAGAGCTGCAAGCAAGAGCTGCTCCAGCATGAAGGTTTCAGCCCAGAGGTCACCCTGGTGGGCGGTGAGTGCATGCCGTCACCCAGAGGGGTGAGGAGAGGTGTACAGTGCCCGAGTGGGCAGGAGGCATTCCCCCATCCCGTTAGGGACCTCCTTTTGCTGCTTCAGCTTAGTCACCCAGCCGCAGCATGCTGAAGTGCCCAGGGTGCCCCCATGCTGGTGCTGCCCTCCACCAAAGCAGCTGGAGGCCATCAGGCTGCAGCGACCAGGGCAGCTGCACCACGGGGATGCACCTCCACTTTGGTTTCAAGTGCGGGAGGAAATGCACAGCCACAGGATTTCGGTTTCAAAGCTCAGCTGAGATGCAAACACTTCTAGGAAAGGAAGACTGGAAAACAAAAGCGAGCCCGGTGAGGGCTGCTGTCAACAGTCATTGCAGAGGGCCATCTCGATGAGCGGGGCTGGTGCTGTGGGGCACTCCCCTGTGACCGGTGAGCCGGGGCTGCAGCTCACCGGGCACGAGGGAGATGAGCTGCTTCGGCCTCCCTTCTGCTGGCAGTTGGCCACGTGCAGCAAGCCAGCAGATGGGAAGGTGTCCGTGAGCGCAAGGCTCCAGGGGGAGGCAGGCAAGGAGAGACACCTGCCCCTGTCTGGTGGCAATGGAAAGGGTCTCTCTCTTCCCAATAAATAACCGTGGGAAAGTCTATTTAATTTTCTGTCAGGCCACCCTGAGAGGGATGAGAAGGATAAATGACTCAAGGACCAGCAGGCACAACAAAGTGACTAGGTGGTGAGTGACATCAAAGTGACGAGGAAGAGAGATATGAAACAGACTTTAAGGTGGAGGGAGCGAGGTGCAAGGAAAAAGTCACTCATCCCAGCAGCATCCCATGACAGTCTCCTGCATGAGCAACTATAGTTAATCAGAGTGAAAACTGTGTTGGCAATTGTATGTCGAGGACCTGAAATCAAGCCCCTGTTGCCAAAAACTACCAGGACATGTATAAAACAGTAGCAGTATGTTGCTATTCTTCTGATCACACAGCAGAAGTCTGTCAGGCACCTGATCCCAGATGAAGAGTAAAGGAATACGGTAGTGACTGGGTCTCACGCAATTAAATGTCTAAATTACAGCCAATCTCTAGGTTTTGTACTGTAGCTTTCTAACACAGCAAGTCTCCCAGTAGGAATAATTACAGATCAGACTTGATGGTGTCTATGCCAAGAGGACACATGCAGTGGCCGGAGTCGTCTTCAACAATATACCTTTCCAGGTTCAAATTATCACCAAATAGACTTGTGACTGATGAAATGGCCAACATCCACTTTGCAGGGAGCTTCATTATCTAAAGCTATCTAAATAGCTTCCCCTTTGTAAATCCATGCTGACTACTCCTGATCACCTTCTTCACCTTCATGTCTGTAAATGGTTTCCAGGATTAGTTGCTCCATCACCTCCCCAGGGATTGAGATGGGGCTAACCTGCCTGTAGTTCCCCTTTTTCCCTTTCTTGAAGTTAGGAGTGACATTTGCTTTCTTCTAGTCTTCGGAAACCTGTACTGATTGCCGTGACCTTTCGAAGATAATGGAGAGTGACTTTGCAAAGGCATTGGCCACCTACCTCAGCACTTGTGTGTAGATCCTGTCAGGCGCCACGGACTTATGTATGTTCAGTTTAAGTTCTCACTAACCTGATCCTCCTCCACCAAGGGTACGTCTTTCTTGCTCCAGACTTTCCCTCTGTTCTCAGGGGCCTGGGATTCCTGAAGGCTGGTCTTACAGGTGAATACTGAGCCAAAGGAAGCATTGAGTATCTTGGTCTTTTTCCATGTCATTTATCACCAGTATCCCTGCCCTGTTCAGTAGCTTTCCCTAGTCTTTCTTTTGCCGCTGATGTACTTGTAGAATCCTTTCTTGTTCCCCTTCACATCCTTTGCCAAATTCAACTCCAGCTGGGCTATTGCTTTTGTAAACTCATTCCTGCATGGTCGAACAGCAGCTCCGTACACCTCCTGGGCCACCTGCCCCTGCTTCCACATCTTGTACACTTCATTTTTATGCCTGAGTTCACTTAGGGGCTCTTTTCTCATTCATGAAGCTTCCTACTGCCTCTGCTTGATTTCCTACTTGTCAGGATGGACCTGTCTTGATCTTGGAGGAGATTCCTGAATATCAACTAACTCTCCTGGACACCTCTTCTCTCCAGGGCTGTATCCGATGGGATTCTTCCAAGTAGATCTCTGAAGAAGTTAAAGCCTGCTCTCCTGAAGTCCAGGGTTGTGGTCCTGCTTTTTGCCCTGCTCCCTTCTCCCAGGGGCCTGAACTCCACCAGCTCATGGTCACTGCAGCCAAGGCTGCCCCTGACCTTCACATCCCCAACCAGTTCTCCCTTGTTTTGAGTAGGAGGTCCAGCAGAGCATCCTTCCTTGTTGGCTGCTCAATCACCTGTGTTAGGAAGTTGGTGTCAGCTCACTCCAGAAACATCCTAGATTGGTTGTGAGGAGGAATCCTCACATTCCACAATGTGAAGACAGAAAGCAAGCTGACTGAAGTTAACATCTGAGGTCACATGTACTACAACCTATTTTTCAAATAGTTAAGGAGGCCAGAAACATCTATAACAAGCTGTTACATGTTAAAATCTTTCCAAAAGTCCAGCAAAAATGATGTTCTGAGCCTGTGGAACTGGAAAACCAGCACTATGGAGGTATTTGTGCTCATTTTTGAAGGTCCAGACACATTAGCGGAATATTTCACAGGATATTGAATATGTGCACTCTGTCCTAACTCAGGAACTCAAAAGCACAAAACTATTTTTGTTTTCTGACTTA